GGCACTACCGGGCTATCTTCAATCGTGTGCAGCCTCACCGACTTCAACCCCGTACACAACCCTCGCCTAATTACCCTCTGGTGGATCTCGTCTCTCACATGCGGGTGGGAACAGAAAAGGAATCACCCGGAATCACTTCGATTCCTGCTGGAATTCTACCAGTAAGCCTATGGGATATATGATAGCCTATCATAGGATACACCACGGCAGCTTACAGTGAATTCCCCAGACGCCGTTAGCCCAACCGGTATAGAGGTAGTTTTAAATCCCGACGGAGATGTGAGAGCGAGGAAGGGTTTACAGGTTTGTACGCATGTGGAGTAGGGGAAGACCAAGGGCAGGATTTTGAATACATATCAACCCGGTATCTGGACATGGATGGGATGGCGTGAGTCCCCGTGCACTCGTAATATCATACCAAGGCCTGTGCTTGCGTTTTTTGTGCAATCCTCGGATCTCCGCATTGGTCTGGGATCCACTTGTTGCCCACAATGAAATGCCAAGAATTGATGTTTCATTGAGGATACAATGTTCGTTCAAAATGGGTCTAACAACCTTTTAGATAGATCGGGCAACCCCTACTTAATACACTTATTCACAAAACTCTCCTTTTTTTTTTTTTTTTTACCAAATGAGAGACTGTCATAGGCTCCTACAATAGGTTCAAGCAGCCTTAGTAGATTGATTTATTCGAAGCATTTTGGGGGGGGGGGACTTGAGTTACTACAGGGCTTACTTCCATTACTTTTTCATAGCAATAGCCCGGTTATGGCTTTCCATTGTCACGGTATGGGAGATGCTGAGGTCAATACTTCAGGAACCTTCATTCCGAGCTCATTACCGCAACGTGATCGTTGCGTTCCGGTGCCAACCGGACATGCCACACAAGAGCAAAATACTGTAGAGTTTTATGATATCATACCACAAACCTCTACAATCGGGGTTAAAAACAAGGCTTTGGTTTCTGGAAACCGGAATGCGCCCTTAGGTCATTACCGCCGGTTCCGGGATACAGTATGCTGTGGGTGCTGTAAAAACCGGGTTCTATCGTACGGAGCGGTATGGGTGAGCGACGGTATTAGATTATGGCCTATATAGAATGGGGGTCTGACTGGGTTGATGTTGTTCGGGTCATTCAAAGATTATTTCCGAAGTTTGCCGCGTCATATCATACGGGCCTGCAAAAAAAAAAGAGGAAAGAAAATCCTGTGCACGAGTGCTCTATATGGGTAGATATCTGCTGGTGTAAGCGCCGAGGGATATCTTGTTATTCTGTTTCACAAACGGGTTTGTGCTGTCGGACCGCTTATTGCGACACCCCTTCGCCCATTTCTCATCCCGAGTGATATCGCATGAAAACACTCTGCCCCATCGACGGGAGATATTGACAACTATCTACTATACAAAGTAATATTATCACACGTCATCGAATTTACATAGGGAAACGGCCTAACAGCGGTTACGAAAGCTGCTGCAGGCTACAAAAATCTACAACACTGTGATACTAATAATCTTGACATCATCCTCTGGCTTCTCCTTGAATGTGCGTACATTCTCGATCTTATGCACGACGTCCAGTCCCTGCGTGGCTCTTCCAAAGATGGTATGGCGGTCGTCGAGCCAGGGCGTTTTCTCCGTGGTAATGAAGAATTGTGACCCATTTGTGTCTACGAACTGTTAGCCGAAACAGTTTCAGGGGAAGGAAGGAAGGAAGGGGCATACTTGAGCCAGCATTAGCCATAGACAACGTATACGGCTTATCATGCTTAAGCGTGGAAAACTCGTCCTCAAACTCTCGGCCCCAGATCGATTCTCCACCGGTACCGTCACCAAGTGGATCGCCGCCCTGTATCATAAACTTCTTGATAACGCGATGGAAGATAGTTCCGTTGTAATACTGATTCTTGGCATGCGTGACAAAGTTCTCCACGGTTTTTGGCGCAGCCTCCGGGAATAGTCTTACGTGGATATCACCGAGGGAGGTGTGTATTATTGCCGCCTGGCCACTTTCCTGCTTTGCCGTTGCAGCGGCGGGGCCGGCGCTCGCCTGACTTGCCTGGGTCGGCTTCTCGTTTAGGATATCGCGCTCGGACTTTGAAGCGCTAGAGTCGTTGGTGAAGATATAGAAGCGGGGTTTTTGATAGGCTGTGCAGGCGATCATAGGGTCTCGCTCCGTGGATTCGCTGAGGAGCGGGTTCGCGGATGCGGCCATTTCTACAGTCATTAGGGTTTTCTTCTTCGGGGCGCCTTGATAGATTGCTAGGTGCATTGGGCGGATTCCTTCTTCGGCTGAGAGGAGACGGGGTAAGCTATTTGTGGTCGTGTTTAGGATCTTAATACCCGCGAGGGATCCATAGATTATAAAGTAGCCAGATTCGTCAAAGATTATGTTTTGTTTTGCGAGGGAGGACAGCGAGGTTAGGTCCGTTTCTATGGCTATGCGACGGCCAAATTCTAGATCTGGGAGCTTTCTGTCTGAGGAGGCCACTTGCTGGATCGTGGTTAGGGTGCTGATGGACTCGTCGTATGTCCTGTAGAGCTTTGCTGAGGGGAAATCGAAGACGCGGATTTGACGGTCTGGATGTGAAAATATAGCGAATTTTTCATATGTCGGAGATATTGTTAGTGAGGTAGGTACTGATTTGGCCTTCTTGAAGTCCAGGAGGTTGGTATCAGATTTGTACACGAAAACTGAGGATGGCTTTTCGAATTCACGTTCAGAATGCGGGCTCCAGTATTCTATCATTCCACCTTCGTCACATGACACCACTGTATCGTACTTGTCATTGAAAGACATTAGATGAACGATAGCTCTATGGAGCTTCGGCAATGTTGCGAGAACCTTCATACCCTCAGGTCGGCCGTCGTAGATATTAATCGTTGGAGTCTCAGTGTCTGAAATCGCTAGCAACGGCAATGAAGATCCACGTTTATGGACCCAACAGATGGCTCGTGGAGTGTTTGGCAGTGTGAGAGTTGTCAAAAGATCTAAACCCTCGTTGTCAGCACTGACCCTTTAATCCCACCCACCAAAAGGATAGAACACACCGAAAGTATCCACGTCAAAAACCGCAACCCTATTGTCAGCTCCGGCCGTGGCAAGGCATCGTCCATCGCTACTAACACTGATGCTCACAATCTCCGCTGTGTGTGCGCGGAACATCTTCACGAACTCAATCCCTACAGCCACCTTCTTCCAGAACTTTACAACACCATCCACACTTGCCGTAACCAGAAAATCTGTAAACGGTGTCATTGTCACGAAGCTAAGGTTATCTCGGTGCATCAACGACTTGGAGTATCGCGGCGAGGATGGTATTGCCGACAGGTAGAGTTTCTCATGGGGAAGGGCTCGTCGCTTCTTTTTTCTTGACCTACCGGCTGGGGGCAAGGCAGGCCCTATGTCTTCATCCGAGGAAGTCTCTGGGGCGGGGTCAGTTACGGAAATTTATGCTCGGGGATCAGAGGAGAAATATCGTACCCACGGCATCCTTTGGAGTCGCGGCAGGTGAGCGCCGCGGCGGAGGCGCACCGCTGGTACTTCTCTCTCGCTTGATCAACTTTTGAGTCGCGCCGGGTGAGGGTTGCGGCGGAGGCGCATCGCTGATGCTTCTCTTTCGCTTACCCAAGCTAGAGAAACCCTCGCCAGCGGAATCTCCGTCGGACATTATTTGTTGTTAAAGCTGCGGTGTTGATGTTATGATATTCGTGTTTGGAGGAAGGTCTAGGTGTTGTTTTTCCGGCTCGTTTGTTTAGCTTTCTTCAGTCGCGTTGAAAATATTTTAAGCCTCCACTTCCATAAAGCCAAGGTGCACAAATCAACTCGAGCCACCGCTAATTCTCCACCCCTGAAAAATCCCTAACAACCGCGATGGCAAGTTATTCGAAACAGCAGCCAATCCCCCGAATAAACATCGCTAATCGTACATCTAGGCACGAGGGAACCCCACAAGGCGTATTTCGCTGCGTGATAAAGCTTCCGTCTCTCGTCCTCTCCCCTCCGTGCGCCCCGCGATCCCGCTCCAAGTCAAAAAGAAAACCAGGCAGAGCATAAAGCACTCGCTATTTGTCAATAAAATCGAAAAATCCTCCACTCCATCCGCCCGGTCTCGGCGACGAAAAGCAAAAGCTGCGCAAAACTCCCTCATCACTGGGCTCGAGTCTCTCGCCGATGCGCTTCCCTCTGGAACGCTCCATGAGTCGGTAAATTTTACATCGGCCAGTAGTAAAGCAAAGGGTAGAGGTGAAGGAGAGGGGGTTGGGAGGAAGAGTATGAAGTCCCGACCTGGCGCTATGAAAAAGAAGGAGAGAGTCGTGAAGAGTGAGTGCGAGCGGTTTGGGAAGAATCTTGCCATCATGCAGAATGGAGCTATCGCTGGGGCTACAGGAGGAGGAGGAGGAGGAACTTGGGCCGCCTTGAGGGGTTTTATTGAAGGGACCATGGAGAAGAAAGAGGAGTTTGTTGGGGCAGGCTGAGACGGAAAGTGGGGGATAAAGCCCTTGGGGTAGTATAGTATAATTGTTCCGTTTGGTACTAAAAGTTTGATGGTGGTTATTGTATATTGTTTGTTTTGGGTTTTACGAATAATGAAAATGCGTTCGAGATCTATGGTATGGTATCATAGTTTCTATCCTATAGGAAGCCTCCTACAGGCTGCAGTGGCCTGTGCCCGGGGATGTCGTAGAAATATTCCAGCTAAATGCCGCGAGTGTGCTCAGATCGCCCATCCAGAGCAATATCCAATTCTGAATCCCCTCAAGGTACCAGGGTATTCTGCAGCAGTGGGACATCCAGAAGCAGACAGGGGAGGACTCTCTCCACCAATTAAGCGTACATTCCGGTCATTCCCAATTGCCATAAGCAAAAAGGCAAATTAGCCAAAGAGCCAAGCCATCCGACTCCAACACAGCTGTCGAAAAATGCAGTATCATGCACCTTGCCCATGTTTGATAATAATGCCCCTACAACTCTGGCGGGAGGGGCTGAAGGGCAAAAATAACGACCGAAGACGGACTCGAACCGTCAACCTCAACCTTAGGAGGGCTGCGCGCTACCATTGCGCCATCCGGCCAGTCTTTGTTTGGAACGAGAAATTAAGTTATGAGCATTAGGTCAAAAGAGGGATCGCCCAGGGGATGGTTTTTTGAAAGGAAAAAAAAAAAGAGAAACCGCACCGGGTTTTGGCTAGTGTGGCTACCAAAGCCTGAGGACTGCCGATGAAACCCAAGGTTATTCAAGGGTCGATCATAGTGTGCAAGATCTCAAGGTGCAAACTTGTCGGTACGTGTCTATTTCTAGGGGAACACAAATTTAACTTTGTCCGGGTCTCTGAAGTTCGTTCGAAAAAAATGAAATAAAGAAAGGAGAAAACCTCTAGGTTATACAATTCCATGACATCACTGAATATATAAATCCCCGAATGAGGAATACAGCGGGCTAAGCGCATAATTCGGGTATAACAAAGATCGTTGATATGTTTCTAGCATATTCACTTTTGATAGCTTACATTGCATTGGAAGTGAAGGGGGAGCAAGATAGAGGTGTGGATGAACCACCTACTGGTATGAGTAGTAGAACTACTTGATGAAATTTACTCGTTTTCCTTCCTTCTTCTATCGTGATTCCCTTGATTTGATTATTTTTCCGGAAGAAGGGGTTACGCGTGGAATACTAGGGTTAACCCAAGCTGTACGGGTTTAGTTGGTATGCTTCGTAGTACGCGCTATGCCGTGTAATAGAAATTGGGGGGGTAATCCATCAAGATATGGTAGGATAGCTACTTCTTAGCAGGCTGCTAGATACTCGAACATTCGGTGGAGTATATCATAGGACGAGAGAAACACCGCCTTTCCGGCTGCGAGTGACTAGTGGTGAGCCTGTTTCAGGCAGTGTTCTGGTTCGTTTGAGGAACAGGGTTAGAACCCTTGCAATCATGCACGGGCTGGATAGACCCAAGAGTAGTGGGGATGATCTTGTGAAAAAAGGGAGGTTTGTATCATAAGCAATGGCTGCTTAAGTTATCGAGGTTGGGAGTCGGGTGCGGCCTGGCTGTTCCCCCCGTGGGCCTGGTTGGTATCACCATCCTAGAAGCTAAGTCTACCCTGGGCCCCCGAAGCGTTGGGTTACACACGGTTTACCGAACCCCTTTACTCGATCGGGTTGTCGTCAGCTTTTGGTATAGTATCATATGATACGTTCAAGCACCGCATTGCATCAGACTTTAGTAGATATCATTGTCATGGTCGGCGGATCGGACGTTGTGTGGATAGAAGAAAATCGAGAAATCTAGGAACAACTAGCACCAGCATCATTAAAACCAATCATCACTTTACATCTAGCACCCTAAAAGTACCTAAAAAGTGTCGACACACTATACATCCCCATCCCCATCCCAACCAATCCCACCCTCCAATCAACCCCCCACCTCCTCCCAGCGTCACTTTCCTCACCGCTATTGTCATCCTCTCCCTCGGGCTCCACATTTCCCACTTGCTCCCTAACATTCTGCGCAAACGCGCCTTGCACGTTCCCCTGTGGCCAGTATTCACAAGTGATGTACCAACTATCCTGCCCGGCAACGAGTATGCCCTCGCACTCGGTGGCAGCACAGCCAACAGACCTCGTCGCGTTCCAGACCACCTGCGTGAAGTGACCCGTCTCCTCCGAAAACTGTGCCCGGGAGAAGTCATACATCTCCCGCTCGTTTCCCCAAGCATCCACTGCAGCTGTGGAGTTAGCGTATCCGGCTGCTAGGTTTTCGCCGTACGGGGCGCCCTAGTGGCTGTTAGTATTGTAACTAGGGTAGGAGGAGGGAAGAGGAATTGGGGGGGGGGGGCTACGGAGTGCTCGAAGACACACTCTCTCGTGTGGCCTCTTGCAAAATCTGCTAAAGAATTGTTCCAGACGAGTGGTACGGAGTCGTGTTCTGCCCGCCAGCCATTGTGAGCTCTTAATACGTCACCCTCGAGACGGGAGGTGTCGGTGTAGGATTCTGTGTCTACTTGGGCTTGTGCGAGGGTTGTTCCCGCGGCGAATACCGCTGGGAGGAATATTGTTGTACGCATTTTTCGTACTGTAACTTCTGACTGGGGAGTGGGAGGAAGGAATATGGTATTTATCTCAAAGACCCGTATTGTTTTATACTCCCAGCCTACCTACCCAAATCCAACACTGTACGTGTCAATAATCCAGACTCGGGATTATTGACCGGCCCATGCAACAGACCTGTCTTGGCTGACGCGCGTTTATTTATCAGCGGTGGCTAATAATATCGAATAAACTCGAACCATTGGACCAAGCGCTACCGGTATGTCGCTGGAGTTACCTCCTCTGGTAAGGCTTGGTGCTTCCTTGCCACTTCGTGCCATTAGAGGGGCTGGGTGGCTCATCTTTTGTTGTCTTGTTCGCTCCCCTTCCAGAGCAGGGGGGTTTTGGACTACAGGGCACACGATAATTACCCGTACCATATTCCACTGGTACTCGAGTTTCGTCGGTATGATAATAGGGTCGTATGGTAACTGTTAGCCATGCGATGCGGGGCGACAGTGACATACATGTATGATACCGGTATAATGCCAGATCCTTTCCCATCCCGGTTACTGCCGGGAAACCCTTATCCGTAGCGCGGAGCTCTTTCGGAGATAAGGGCTTCCCAAGCCGCCGTAACGGCCTTGCTCCTCCCGGAGCTGTTGTAGCGAGCCATGGAAGACTACTTGTCCCAGGCCATAAGTACCCGAAAACTGGGGCGCTGTCTGACTACTGGAAGGTAGTTATGCTTATATAGGCGAAGACATCCCGAATAGTTTGAATAAAAAGTTTTTTTAAAAAAAAAAAAAAAAAGTATCTGAAAACCAGGTGTATGAGACCGAGGGGGATTGCCATGGCCTGACAGGGATAATAGTAGGGTTATTGATTGGTGGAAGTGTTTTCAGAAGGGTTTCTTGGCTCAGACAATCTATGTATATTCACCAGTATGTATGTCCTCCAGAAGCACTAATGACAGCCTCAATATGTTCCAGCATAGAATAAATATATTCTAGCAACTCACTAGGAGTGAGTTCTTGCCATTCTTCCATAATAGCTTTTTTTTATCTTCTCAATGCCCTTTGGACGTACNTGGGAGAGGAGCAATTTGGGAAGGAAAGGGATTGGAAGAAAAAAGAGGTGTGGGAAATACAAGAAAGGGGATTGGTGGGGAAAAAAAGGACGAAGCAATGGAACTAGGAGGAGGAAAAAATACGGAAAATACAGGAATAGGAGACAGCTAGCACACAGGAGAGAGAAAAAGGCAAAAAAGGGAAAAGGAGAATTTAAAAGAGGAATATTGGGGGATGGAGGCATGGAAGAGGAGAGATAAGAAGGAAAAATGGGGAAAGAAAAGAGAGGAGAGGAAAAAGAGAAGGGAGGAAATAGAGGGGAGGGGAATAAAAGGAGGTTTGATGGCAGGACAGGCATACAAAATTAGGAAGAATCTTGAAAATTGGAGAAAAAGAGTGGGAAAGATAAAGGACATGTTTGAGATAGGGGAAGTGGAAGCGAGAGCATATAAGTTGGATTTAGAGGTGCGGAGCAGGACAGGAGAATTGGGGGGATTGGAAGAGTTGGTAAAAGGAGCGGGAAAAGAAAAGGGAAAAGGGTTGGATAAGATAGTACTGGTGGAAGGAGGAAGAACATATGGGGAAGTACTGAAGGAAGAAAGAGAGGAGGGCAAGGAGGAAAAAAGAATAAGGGAGGAGCGAAAGGAGAGGGAGAGGGAGAGGGAAAAGGCGATGAGAATAGAAAGGGAGAAGAGAATGGGAAATTGTTTTGAAGTGGTAATAGACTCGCAGAAGGACATGGAGGGAGAGTGCGAGAAGAAGGATTTGGAGGAGGAATTGGAATTGGAAGAGGGAACGATTGAGAAGCTGGAAAAGAGAGGATTGAGATTAAAGATTACGGTGCAGAAGAAGGAGGATTTGAGGAAGCTAGAAGAAGTAGGAACTGAGGGATGGCAGAGGGTTATGAGAGGGAAGGTGAAGGAAACAAAGAGGGTGGACCAGTGGGTGGGTTTGGTGTTACTGGGAATTGATGTTTACGAATGGGGAGGGAAACTGAAGGAGGTGAGGGAGGGGATAGAAAAGGAGAATGACATGAAGCTGATGAAGGAGGTTACATGTCTATGCACACCGGAGAGAGCAAGGAGCATGAGAATAAGGATAGTGAGAGTGGTATTCCATGTGGCACAGGAGAGTGAAAGACAGGAGATGTTGGAAAAGGGAATAACATGGCAAGGAACAAAACTGGAAGTGAAGAGATTTGTGGATTAGAGAGAGATACAATGGTGCACAAAATGTGCAGTGGTAGGACACAGCTGGTGGAATTGTGAGAAAAAAGAGGGAGTTTGTGGTATTTGTAGGGTAAGGGAATACATGAGTTGGCAACATAGGTGTGACAGGTGCAAGATACAGAGGGCGGCATGTATGCATTACAGGAGATGTGCGATGTGCAAGGGACCACACACAGTGAGGGAAGCAAGAGAGAATAACTGCCTGGCGGTAAAGGCAGAAATGGCAAGATTGAGAAGTTTGGATTAATGGCAAAAGAAGAAGGAAGAGGGGAAGGGGTGAGAGTGGTTTCAGGAAATGTGAGGGGAGCAAGAGATGGGTTGTTTATGTTGGGAACAGAATACAAAGAGGTGAATGTGATTTTGGTTCAAGAAGTGGCAATAATAGGAAAAGAGGCAGTGTATAGATAGGAGAGCTATGAAGCGATTGCAGGAATAGGAGGAGAGATCAAAAAAGAGAAGAGTAGTGTGGTGGCAACGTATTTGAGTAGGAAATGGGAAGGGAAGAGTAGGATTTTAGAGAGGAGACAGGATAAGATTGGAATTGAATTGGTTGTGGGAGGCACAAGAAGATCGGAAATATGGAACATGTACGTGGGGGCGGGAAAACGTGGAAGATATCGAGGGGTGGAAAGAGAGGGCAATGTGGTGGTGATGGGAGATGCGAATGCAATACACGAAAGATGGGGAGGAGACGGAGTAAAGGAGAATTATGGGAGAAAAAGAGTAGTAGAATGGATGGATGGGAT